TTTCTAAAGATGCATGTACACCTGCGAGTGGAAACATTCTGCTGTGAAACCTATGCTCGTACTTCAGAGCCGAACAAATTGCTTATACGAGCTGCTTGTGAAGAACCATTTCCTATAGACATTTCGATGCACACAAAAGAAATTTGCTTTTTAGGCTTTGCACATAATTGTTTTCCTATTGTGGAGCTTTTAGCATACACTGGTGATTTGCGGTTTGTTCGTTCCTTTACCAAGACTCCCCAAAAATTCATTGAGATAAATGAAAGGATTAGAAAAGTTAAAAGCAGTTACCCCATGATCTAACTTCTGTAGTAATGGTATGACAGCTTTTATCTTTTCTAATCTTCTCATTTATCTCTTTTGAGCTTGGAAATTGGTAGATGCTCGCTCTGTCAACGCTTAATTTTAGCTGTTGTAGAAAATCTCTTAAATGGAATTGGATTAATTAATAACTGGGATGAAGAATATGACACACGAGATGGTAGATTATAACCACTTGTTTTTCTTCTTGTGTGTGTATATGAGCAGAATTGTATTCATTTTCTAAACCCCCCCCCCACTCACACTCTATGTTCGATTCATTATAACATTGATCGAATGGGTATCCGTACGTTTTTCTTCTTTTTATATATATGAGAATATAATAGATTATAATTCCTACTAGGTTTTACTAAATAAATATGTGAAAAATGTTTGTTGACAAAATGAGTTAAAAAAGGAATCCACAAAATGAAGCAACTAAAAGAATGTTCTGTGGCCACCTAACTGGGACAGCAACCTACCGAGGATCGAGAGATAATTGTTTGAAATTGAGGAGTTAGAAGAATTGTTGCCAGGTCAGGTGTCTTCCTCGTCACTAGACCATAGTTCGAAATTACGAGGTCTGTCGCCAGTAGTCGTCGTGTTTCTATGTAGTGCGACATTAATAAACACTCTCTCACTCAGAAATGAAGTTACCTCTACTTTTGTATATAACTTGTTTTTTTATATACTGAATTTCAAATTTCATTTAAAGCCTCTTTTATATGGATGAATCTAAGTTTTATTGCTGATACAGCTTCTGCTTTTGCTTATCATATAGTATCCCAAACTCATTTCACTGAGAAATTGTATATTGTTACTCAGTTCCAGTTTAAAAATGCATTGTTCCAAACATAAAGAGTCGTGTTTTTCTCCACAAAAATAAGTTCCTAAAAATTTTCACTTATATATTATTAGAGGATTAAACATATCTTATAGCACAAGTGTAAGTTGGTCAACATGAGGAATATTGGGAGTAGTCAACAATTACACTATAACCAGACACAAATTTCATTTTTTCAATTACTTCAGCTCTGGCTTGATTACCAATTAGGCCTATAAATACTTAATAAATATTATGAAATAAATAAGTAACATTTTCTCTTGTCCTTGGTTGGCATATTTTTGTTGGTGTAATTTTAAGAACTCGTATTCTCTCAAGGAAGGTGAACAATTTCACACACACACATTTCTTATTAGAATCTTTACCTTCACTGAAACCTTTCTCTCTCTCTCTAAAGCCCAATTTTAAAAGATTCAATGACTTAATTGTTTAACCTTTATCTACCACATTATGAATTACTACAGTTTTTTTCATGCAATTTTTTTTCTGAATCACTACATTGAAAATTAAGGGATATACATAAACAAAATACTCAACTTTGGGAAATTTAATTAGTTAGAGCTAATTAATTAATGAAATATATTCAACTGTAAAATTAATTATACACACTCTTCACTTAAAATAAATAGTCAAATCGTATCCTAAGGTTTTCATTAACATACAAAAAAAATAAGACACTTACCTTTCGACATTAACTATTTTTTCTGAACAAAAATGACAATCTTCGCGATCCCTTTGAAAACGCCGTCAGCTGAAAACGCAATTTCTGCTATAAAACGATTCGCCTTCCCCTCTAAAATACTTATCATAGAACCCATGCTGCCATACATCTTGGATGAGTGGATTTCAAAGAATATTTCATCTAAGTATCTTCAGAGTATTCGTAAAAATGGTTATTCTGTGTAATTTTAAAGTGAGTGGTACTCATAAGTACCGTCAGTAGATAAAGGGTTGAACAATTCTTCTCACTCTTTAGTAATATATATAATCTTTTTCTTTTTTTCTGTTTTGATTAAGGCTGTTTTCGCCATATCGTCGGCCAAATTATCAGAATGCGTGACTCCACAAAGTTGCTAAATTTGATATAGGAGTGCTACGCGCCAAGCGCTGTTTGGCACGATTCCTTAATTTCGCCAAACATATACGTTATCCCCTTGGTAACCACATTAACACACGATAAAAAAAAGTCAATGTAACCATATTGTAATACGAGGGCTGTTTTTTAAGTAAGGTCCATTTGTTTTTTAAAAAATAACGACAGCATTTTGTTTCAAAAAACCTTTATTTTAATATTGTACATACTTTTGCTTATTTTACTACATAGTTGCTGAGTTTATTAATGCACTTGTCATACCTTAGAACTAAGTTTTGAAAACCCTCTTCAAAGAAGTCTGCCGCCTGGTCTGACAGCCAAGAGTTAACGGCCGCCTTCACTTCGTTGTCACTGAAGTGCTTCCCACCAAGACTGTGTTGGAGGTACCGGAAAAGGTGAAAATCACTCCGAGCTAGATCAGGGCTGTGTGGTGCATGGTCCAAAACCTCCCAGCCAAATTATTCGATTAACTCTCGAGTGATTCGAGAAGTGTGAGGCCTTGCGTTATCGTGGAGGAACAAAACACCTTTTGACAGCATGCCACGCCATTTGTTTTGCAATGCTCTTCGGAGCTTCCGTAGAGTTGCAGAGTAGGCAGCTAAGTTGATCGTTGCTCCTTGTGGCATAAAGTCCACCAGCGAAACATCCCAGAACACTGTTGCCATAATCTTGCGTTTTGATAGCGTTTGTTTGGCTTTGACCTTGACGGGAGAGGATGTGTGTCACCATTCCATCGACTATTGCTTTGATTTCGTGGTGATATGGGATACTCATGTTTCATTTCCAGTAACGATTCGATTCAACATGTCATCCCCTTCTTCCTCGTAACGATTCAAAAAGTCCAATAAAATGGCAAACCTCTTCTCTTTGTCTTCCGCGCTGTAAATAGTCTGGATACCCACCGAGGACATAATTTCTTAAAGTTGAGGTCTTCAATCACAATTTTGTACACCACCGTCCGAGGAACGTCGGGAAATTCCAATGAAAGAGGGGTTATCGTGAATCTCATGTTCTCACTAATTTTTGTTTCAACTGCTTGCATCAAATCATCAATGATTACAGAGGGTCGGCCTGAGCGTTCTTTAAACATCTTTAAACTTCTCGCCCATCTTTAAACTTCTTCGCCCATTTTCGAACTTTACTGCCACTCATTGCTTCTGCCCCATAAGCTTCTATTATCTGGCGATGAATGTCTGAAGCCTACATGTTTCTCGCAGTCAAAAAACGGGTAACAGACCGTATCTCACACTTGGCGGGCGATTCAATCCCCTTAAACATTTTAAAGATGAACTGTGAAGCTTACATGGCTACTGCAAAGCTAGAAATGGCACGAGTGTGTTCGCAAAGGATGTTGATCAGTGACGCAGAAACTCGTTATGGTGTACGCATGAACTAGGGAACTATACGCGCCAACGGACCTTGCTTAAAAAATAGCCCCCGTATTATCCCCCGTAGGTAAACATAGACAACAACTTGGCGCTTAGCACTCCTATATCAAATTAGCACCCCAGACGGAGTTACGTATTTTGATAACTAGGCCGACCATATGTTAGACTTTGTGAACTTAACGTGGAGCACATTTTCGGTCGGAAAAAATGCTTCAATTTTTATAAAAATTTATGACAGTGTAACTCATGCATTTGTTTATAATATAGTGTTTTTAAAATTTCAAAATATTTCATAAAGTATCTTTTTTTTTCTTTTAACATGTAAAGGAATAGCTCATTTAGTATTACGGTATAGGTAGAAAAGGCGAAACACGTTTAATAAAAGAAAAAATGTATCAACTCGGGTAAAAATGATAAAGTAAGTGATAAAGTAAGTGATTCTCTACAGGTATTATGTTTGAGTACTTTTTTATCTGAAAAATATTCCGAATTTGGCTCATATTCTTTAACATTAGCCGAAAATAGTCTTTAGCCTTAAAGACTATTAAATTTGGTTGATCTTTTGTATCTTTGAAAGAGCTGAAGATCTTTTGGAAAGAGTTCTTTTGGAACTCTCTTTTTAGTTCTTTAAAATAACAGTAATTGATCTCTAATTCTGCAAACCAGTTATAAAATTAAAACTTTGGTTTTGAAAAGAGTTTGCAAGAGTAGCAGTTAATGCTTTCGGTTGTTTATGAAAATATTGGCCATGTTATTTTTTCTATAATATAATTAAATTTTTTTTCTGTGAAAAGGATTAGAAGGAAATCCTCGATTTTAAACTTCATATTCTTTGTCTTTAGACACTGGTTTGAAATTCTCTGCATTATCAATAAGTTTTTGTTTGAGCTTAAGAATATAGACAATGACAGCATTTGAAAAGCTGTTGCTCATATATAAAGATATATCATTGATTACTTCGGTGTTTTATATTCCTGATTTGTGCGTATTATCTCTATCTTCTGCATCTTCCCTCTTTCCTTTTTTCAATTCCTACTGTTATATATATATATTTCACATTCTCCTTATATTTATATATATATATATATATATATATATATATATATATATATATATATATATATATATATATATATATATATATATATATATATATATATATATATATATCTTGTCCAAATTTTCAATCATTAATAAAATATATTTTATTCATTTACTCAAGTTCAAATACATTTTTTTAACTTGTAGTGGATAACACTTGATGTTAACACAGTTTTTTCAAATATCAATTTATTAATTTTTTAATTAATGAATAAATAGTAAACAAGCAAAAATAGTAATCCAATACTATATATTCAGAAAAATCACTCGCTGTGTCCCTGTAGCGCAGTGGATAGTGCGTTGGACTTCTATTTCAAAGATCGTGGGTTCGAATTCCGTCTGGGATGGGGCTAATTTCTGAGAATGTGAATTCTTTTTATCACACTATTTTATTGGAAAAATCAAATTTAATTAATGAAAAAGCAGTAACAAAAAATAATACTCCAACACCATATATTAAAAAGAAAATGTGGAAAAATTGAAAGGAAAATCGCTTTCTATTTTGCCACTTAATATAGGGATTCTGTCCTATGTATATACATATTTATATTAATTGTAATTATTTAATAAAAAGTAATTGAAATAAAATGTTTCTTTGTTGATCTGAGTAGGAATTGACTTATAAAAAAAATTAATATTACTTGTTATCAGTTGTATTTTAAATCTCTTGATATTCAAATTTTTATTTTTTCTTTGCTTCATATACAGGGTGGTCCTAAATATATGGTGCAAGCTTTAAGGGTAGGTACAGGACATTGTAACAATCATTTATTGTATAGGAATGTGTGCGTGCAAGCGACGCTTGAGGCACAAACACAAAAATAAGAGACAAAAGGAAAAACAAATTGCTTATTGAAAGCGTCATTGACAAGTGTAATGCTTACAATAACTCTTCATAACTATTCAGCCCCTGAACTATGAAGCTCACATTGTTGTGCCACCCACTAGCTGTCGAATAAGATAGTCTGCCGGATTCAAAGCTAATACTCATTGAAAATGGGTGTCAGCGATTCTCGTTTAACACTCTACAAACGGTCTGATGACTCATACTTACGTGATGAGCAACAGCTCTTGTACTTGACTCTGGTCTAACAGCCACAACGTTTAAGATGCTTTCTTCCAGGCTTGGACTGCCTACAGCTCTTTGTCAACCAGCATCATGTCTGGTGACGTGGAACGAACGTGTTTCACGAAGCTGACAATGTAACAGCCGAAAAATTCTGTAATCCGGTATTTGTCGATCAGGAAACTGTGCGTGATACAATGGTCGCGCACAGCTCTGCCGTTACCATTTGCATGGCCGCCGTACATGTAATGCATGTCTGCATTTTCAGCATAAGTAAAGTTTCCCATCGTAAAAGTCAGCACAATTGTGAACGGCGCTTTCCACTACTGAGATGCATCATGTTGAATGGCGGCTAGACATCTACTGCCCCCTACCGGCAACGAAACCAACCTATAACTCCATTTCTCTTTTCTTTTATTTCCCATGTCTGTATCTCACCGCGTCACTGACGTCCATACATTCCTTAAAATAAATTATTGTTACACACACACAATGTCCTGTATCTACCCTTACAGTTTGTACCGTTAAACGTAGAAAATTTATCTGAAGCAAATGTTGATGGCAATTCTATTTCTGAATTTATTTTTAGAAACTTACGCAGTGCATTTATTTGGCTTTAAATAATCTCCACAATATTTTCCTAATCTTTTTCTCTTTTCTGCATCTCACTTTGATATACCTTTATTTTATTTTATTTTACTGTAAAGAAAAAAGCTTCATTTTTTAAAAAATAATTGGGGGTTTTTTTTGTAAAAAATTAAAGGGTGGCAAATTTGGAACCTTGTGGTACTCCGCAACCCTACGTAATTGAGCCTTCTTACTGTTAAACTCACACTACTCTCTCAAAGCAAATAGTTTCGGCTACGTTATCATGTGTTTGATATTATAATCTGAGTTGAATTTTTAACATAGATTGAAGTAGTTTTACTGTGTTCAATATTTGTTTGTAACTGCTTATTTTTATATAATTGTGGACTTACTATAATTCAGAAAAAATTTTCATTGAACTATAGAAAGCAATGAGATAATTAACATAATGTGAGCCAAGCGTTAAACTCTAAGCACTTAAGACAAAATATATATATATATATATATATATATATATATATATATATATATATATATATATATATATATATATATATGAGTATATAATAAATTTTAAAATTTTTGTGTGTGTGGAGGTGTGTGTGTGTGGAGGTGTGTGTGTGTGGAGGTGTGTGTGGAGGTGTGTGTGTGTGGAGGTGTGTGTGTGTGGAGGTGTGTGTGTGGAGGTGTGATATTTAAAGAATAAAATTGGGATCTTATGCCTTTTGGTGCAGAATAGATTCAATCAATGTATTACATAGCTAAAATCGAAGAGTTAAACACAACTTAATCTAAGAGGTCTCAGTTATATTTACATACTGCGCAGCTAACGAAAAGAAATTGATTCTCTGTGTGTGCGACTTACATTTCTCCTCCTCCTTTTCTGTTTGGAGTGCCCCAAAAGCAAGAGGCAGTCAAATATGTTTTTTAAAGTTTAAAAAATATATTCAGGACGGTTAAAAGATAAAGGGAAATGTATACTAAATCGTTTGAGAATAATAGCAAAATCAAATTTTAAAAATGAGTAACGAAAGATCCATTCAAAAGGAACTACGTAATTTTCAAGAAAATGGCAATTGTAATATTTTGAACATTATTTGATCATTGCATTATTATATTACCTGCGTCTGTATACATGAAAAATAATGAAAATACCTAATAATTCATTTTGTTCTAAATTTTCACTCTAATAAATGTTTGTTTTTTTTGTTTCCAAAACTAATATGAATGTACATATTTTTATGTGCAGCCCACGAGATTATGTTTTTCCGAAGTGGCCCGCAAGGTCATTTGGGTTGGACACCTCTGGCCTAGGACTACATTCAAAAGGGATTTTCCATCTTCCCCACTACTCTCCGACATCTAAAGCTGTGTTCATTTTATCATATAATGGGCTTCCTTGCATCTTTATTCCCCGCCATGTATTTCTGACGAAATCAAGATTCTGAGCCGTGAAACGATTTGAATATAAAACCAGTTATAAAATCCTCAATCTCAATGAGTGTGTGAATATTAATGTCGCACTATTCAGCTACACAAGGGTTTTCGACAAAGGACTTCGTAATTTTGAACTATAGTCAAGTGACGAAGGCGACACTTGAGCTGGCAACACCTCTCCTAACCAATCAATTTCAAATAATTATCTCTCAATCATCGGTGGGTAGCAATCTCAGGTGGCCATAGAACATTAGTCGCTTTATTTTGGATTCCCTTTTTAATTCATTTAGTCAACAAATATTTTTCACATATTTATTTAGTAAAACCCAGTAGGAATTATATATAACCTATTATATTCCCATATATATAAAATAAGGAGACATGTACGCCAAACAATTCAATCAATGCTGTAATGAATAGAACATAAAGTAGAGGGGGGATGTTGAGAAAATGAATACAATTATGCTCAGATATGCACACACAAGGAAAAAACAAGAGGTTATAATCTAACATCTCGTGTCTCATATTCTTCAACCCAGTAATTAGTTAATCCTATTCCATTTAAGAGATTTTCTACTGGAGCTGAAATTAAACGTCGACAGTGTGAGCATCTACCAATTTCCAAGCTCGAAAGAGATAAATGAAAAGATCAGAGAAGTTAAAAGCAGTCATACCATGACCAGAGAAGTTAGATCGTGGTAACTGCTTTTAAAGTATCCGACTACGTTCGGAACCGTGATTTTAAAAAGGTGCATAAATGGATAATTTTCATGATATTTAGTGTCAGATTAGAATACATGCATAAAATTGTTTTAAGAATAGTATTAAAATAAAAAATTATTTAAGCATAATATTTTGACAAAAAGTGAACATAGAATGACCCATTTTCAAAATATTCTTTTGTGAAAAATGTTTCTATTATAATAATACTTTGCCTGTATATAAATTAGACCTCTCTACAGAGGCTCAACTAGAATTTTTGAAATATATAACTTAGAAGTGGGTTTGTTCATGTTTTACGACAACAGAGGAAAGAAATTTTAATTAAAAAACGCCGATAATTATTTAAATTCGTTGTATCTCTGAAAATAACGTAAATTTTTCAAATATTCTAGTTGAGCCTCTGTAGAGAGGTCTGAGCTATATACAGGCAAAATATTGTCATAATAGAAGCATTTTTCACAAAAGGAAAACATTTTGGAAAAAGATTATTCTAAGTCAATTTTAAGCCGAAATATTGTATTTAAATAATTATTTTTGTCACAATGTCTTTAAAACAATTTTATACATGTATTGTAATCTAAGTGATACTAAATATCATGAAAATTATCCATTTATGCGCCTTTTTAAAATCGCGGTTCCGAACGTAGTCGGATACCTTAACTTCTTTAATCCTTTCATTTATCTCTATAAATTTTCGGTAAGCCTTGATAAAGGAACGAACAAACCGCAAATCACCAGTGTATGCTAAAAGCTTCACAACAGGAAAAAAGTTATGCACAAAGCCTGAAAAGCAAACTTCTTTTGTGTGCATCGAAATATGGATAGGAAATGGTCCTTCACGAGCAGCTCGTAAGAAATTTGTTGGGCTCTGAAGGACGAGCATACGTTTCACAACAGAATGTTTCCACTCGCAGGTGTATATGCATCTTTAGAAATTTCGACTGCTTGGATGCAAAACAGTATCGAACAGCTCCACAGCGTCGTAAGACATCCATCTTATCGAAGATCTTCTGGTATCGACAGACTCCATAGTCGTTGCTCTGGAGGTGAGTTCCGTTCTGGTGTATTGATTATTTACTCATGTCTCATGAACATGAGGTTTATTAGCGGCAAAACTCTTAATTCTGAGCCAGGATCTCGTTCCTGTAGTGGCCGTGGTAAACTGGGGGTTACGGTCACGAACTCGGTTCCGACGTTACATGAGTTAGAGCCGTCGTGCCACGTAAGTTCCTTTATGGGACCTATGATGCACGTTAAATCTTTCGAGACTCAAAGTCCTCACTTTAGTGTAGCGTGGAGACTAGGAGATTGGGGTGCCATCCTCGTCACTTAAACGAGATTCAAAATTAGGAAGTCCGTCGCTGCACTGCTTCAGTTTGACGTTAATTAACAGCCTTAGTGTAGGTTTGAAATGCAATTGATAACAACTCGTTCTTATATTCAGCGGTCTTCAAACTGTGTTCCATAGGACCTTGATGTTCCCCGAGGCATACCTAGGGGCTCCATGAATCAAAATAAAAATAATATTGCGAT